ATACAATGGAAGGATATAACCTCGAAGGGCGTGAAATTCCGAATTTTGGCAAGAGTTTTATGAATTGAGCTTTGTGCGCGCCAAGACTTTCCTTGAGATAGTGCAGCTGACACTATAAACACAAGTCAACGATGAAAGACGCCGCGGTTCGCCTCCTGGTGGTGTTCTCTGGTATAGTCTGGGTAGCCTGGGCACCTACTCCACTTGGGAAGGAGACATCTCAGATCACATTTCGCGCGGAGAAAATTTAATGGATGACGGAGGCATGTCTGAATAACTCAGGGTTTTTGAGACGTTCCCCTGGGTGGGTATTCACGAATGAGAGTTGACTCGGGGTGAAGAAAAAGCCACCATAACTTCGCAGTAGTACTTGCAAATGAAATCCGAGGCATAAGTGCTCTTTCCTTGCGTTGAATCATCTACTCTGTACTTTCCTTTGATATTGTGTCATAGCTAGATAGCTACATACGCAATTAAAATCTGATGTAAAAAAAAGACCCATTGCGCTTCCTGTAGGTTAACGAAGAACCACAGAAATAATTTGAAGGAGTAGGGGGGTTTTATCGGAAGGTATCCCCCTCATGTAAAATACCTATAAGTAGGGTTTATAGCCATCTGCATGGGCCAATAGGGCGCCAAATCAGGTTAATGAAATCAAAATCAAAAATCAAATTGAATAATTATTTAATTTTATTATCCTATCTGAGTCATTGACTATGTAGGACATGTAGCTCCTCAGCCTACAGGCCAAGGATACCTATGACAGTAGCTGTTGTAATTACGAGGTTAGATGGATAATTATAGCGGTAGAACAGTATATATATAAAGAAGAATGTGGAATGAATATTTTGGTGGTGGGCAAATGTATTTAGACTATCTGAGGATAAAATGGATATCTAAAGATAAATGCATAATCTACCTAAGAAGTAAATGGACCTGATAATATACGTGTACGATTTAGTCTACAGCCATGCCCATTGATTGTCTGATGTACTCATGTAATGCGTATCGACATTGTTTGATCCTTGAGCTCCTGATAATGAGCACAACTCACATTTGAGTCATGCATTAATATGAGCTTGCATAACTAAAGTCACGTTGTTTTATCACTGAGTCTTGCATGTGAAGCCCTTGCTTCCTTGCGTAGACTAGGATCACAACAGTAGCAAATCCTCTCTTATGCCTTCCATATAGCTCCCCTCAAACAGTACCGCCCCTCACAAGTCCTCATTTGATCATACACTTAGAGAAGCCCTTTACCCTTCATTATCTCCCTTCTCCAGCCAACGAAACGATGGCTATTTGCGGATATATGGCAGCCGGGAAATATCGCAAAAACCACCGGGGTGCGGGGCTCTGCTAATACCGACATTAGGACTAAATCCGAAGACCTAGTGATCCTTCTGAAGCGTTCGAAGAGGCCGGCCAGCTGGGCGCTGCAGAATTGAGCGTACATCTGGAAATTCACCCTCTGCCTTTCTAGCCTCCTTCCAACTCCTTCCCAAGGGTCGTGCTGAAATGTCTGAAAAGTCTTGACAGGGCGTGATTGCCGTTTGATAGCTTTACCCAACTTCTTTGGTACCATCCAGAGCTCTTAAGAGTGTCGTTGACTCATTGACAATTGAAGTCCTCATGGCTAATTAGCCGAAATCTTGGTCTTGGCGCCCACAAAAAATCCAAAGTTGAAAACCCCTCGAAAATATCAGTCCCATTCTTCCACTGGAAATCTCTTCCTTGTATCTTTCCACGCCCCAGTCGCCTGTACTTCTTCAAGATGTGTAACCCCGTTAGAGCATCTGTCCCCCATAAATCATGACCCCAACTTTGTAGATTATGACTTGATCTTCTCTTTGAGGGTATACGTTGCGTCGTAAATTTGTAGTGAGTGATAGTCGGTTACAAATGAGGCAAGCTCCTGCCTGCAATCGGAGTAACGCCTTTATCAGTCGTTGAGGCGAGGTGGTGTGTAGAAAGGTCAAGGTAGAGGAGTCTCGTGAGAATGACAACACCGATATTGATGAGAAGTCGCCGATTACAAATGCGTCTATGTTTGCTTTCGATTTTGATTCGGACAGGATTCGGATACGATTTTTCTTGGATACCTCAGATGTTCAGAGCATGCTGAGCGAATACACCGGCACCGCTGGAAGGTGAAGAATTCGATGTTGGCTCGATGCTCGCGTTTAAACATCTGACAATTCTAACTTTCGCAAGATTTCCTGTATGATCTTTGCTGTCTAAACTCATCTCACCACTCACAGAAGCACTCCAGAATCCAAGAGTCATACTTTCCATCTAACATTCAACTTGAATTTCAACCCCTTGTAACTGCCGTGTGCTGCTAAGGTAGGTCAAAATACCGGCCTTATATTTGTTCAACTTCGGCCACGGGTACCAACAACTCGATCTGTGACGAGTCGCCACCGATGAAACGCGTATAAATTTTGGCGGCTCATCAACTTGAGAATTGGAGAAAGACTGTGGCTTGGTTGCCTCAGTCTTGAGCTCTGTAAGATATATTCAGCTTCCACGGTTAGTGGTATATCAGCGATGGGGGGAAGGTCGGAGGGATGTAAAATCCACAAAGTTTCTAGGATGAAGACGTTGATATAAGGGTTAAGGATAGCTGAAATGGAAGGAAAACAGATGAGGCCATAGTGGGCGACTGCATGAGGTCCCTAATGAAGAGAATAACCCCTGGACGAGATGAGTCGCTGGGACGAGGTATGACTGGAACTAGTCAGAAAATAAGAATTAGAGATTGGGAGGATGCCAGAGACTCAGGCACTTGGTGACCGAGACTGAGGAAGTGATTGCGTCTCGGCGCATCAAAATCGGGTTATCTGGACGGTTGGACTTGACATGTTCAACACGTAAGTGGAGTCTGTGGTCCGGCCATCCAAGTAGGACGAGGTTTTTTGCACTTATATGGTAGTTAACCTGATCTGGCCCTGCCCCACTTGTGCTCAAGCTGCCAGACGAGTGCAGAGGGTATCAATCGTCGAGCACGTTAATAAAACAAGCCAAACTTATCAATTACTGCCAGACTGGATTGTGTAAAGGTACACCGTCCAGGCTGTCCTCCGAAGTAGATTCTATATAGCTTTAACATCTACTCCATTTAAGACAGGAGAAAGCTGGTTCGAGTCCAGCAAAACCTCACCAACCACTCTCTCGCGGTCATATTGTACTTGTGGGATGGTGAAAGCACACTCGGATAGCCACAGGGTTTCCACGCTTTTGCCTGTGGTGGGTATGCACGGAAGAGGTTATACGCCGTAGGGGTTAACCTCGAGTGGTATCTGCAAATGAAATCTTACTGTGAGTGTTCTAAACGTCAAATTAAGTTATCCTACTTGAAGTACATATCTTCCGATGAAAACCTGCATGGGCTTCATGGCGCCAAATCAGGATAATGAATTATTTATTTATTTACATAGCGAGACCAAAGAATACTCGGATAAACATGGGGGTTTCATGCTTTCCCCTGTGGCGGTTATCCACGATAGAGGTTGCATGGCGTAAGGAATAACTTTGAGTGGTATCTGCGAATGAAATCCGAGAGTAAATGCCCAAATGTCAACATGAGTTATTTTATATAAAATAAGTCTCTTCCGCAAATGCCTGGATGGGCTCTCAGGGCGCCATATCAGGATGATTGAAATTTTAATTCAATTAAATGTGTAAGGCGCAAGCCGCTCAACTGCAACGCACGACAAGGGTAGTTGATTGCTCAAAGCTGTGTACTAACGATAAAGATTATTTGCAAGTGCTTCGGGAAAGAACACAACGGATACGTCTAGTGTCCACCGCCACTTTTACATTTCCCCGTATAATTCATCAAGAAATTTCCTTCTACGCCAATGCCTTAACTTACGCCAGCTGTTGTCGTGATGACCGAAGTCATTTCTCACACCTTAATCAACCGAAGCAATTGTTGTGGGGCCTAAATTCAAAGTGTCAATTGAACTATCAAATGTCTTTCCCTTGGCGCCCACAAGCAAATCAATGTCGTAAATCCTCGAAAATGCTAGTCCAAGCCAGCACATCGATGTCCTCCACTCTCTCCATTTCAACGCCCCAACTACCTGTTCTCCCTCAAGTTCTGAAGTCCCATTAGAAGAACAGTACCCTGTAAACAAAGACACGACATAAGTGTGTTATGACTTAAATCTCTACTTTGGAACATAAGCAAAATCGGAAATTTTTAGGAGGCGGCCAAAATTTTGTAAAGCAGATTCCCGGTTTCACTTGGTGCAATAACTTTATCAGTCATCGAGGGGAGATGATTTCTAGAGCAATTGAATTAAATTTTTGGTTTATAATAATAGGACCAACATTGATAAGATTTATTGGAATTTAGATATACTTATGCTTGCATTCGACTTCGATTAGGATGCCATTCATCTTCGCCGTCTAATATTCACAAAGCTTAGTGAGTGTATAAACTGGCATAGCTAGAAGGTCATTAAACAACCTCTTCTGGAGTCATTATTGCTGGACCACGTGCCAGATCAACCTAAAAAGCCTAATGAAGTTTGGGCATCATAGATTTCTACTCGGTACGGTACTTGATATCACTTACAAATACCTTGACAAAGCTGATGTCAAAAGTCATGCTAGCTTGTACGTCAGATTTACTTTGTGCATTTATCATAAGATTTTCACAAATATTTTTATGGACACGAGATATTTTGATCAAGTTCATTTGAAATGAGAAAAGTTTTCAACTACGTTGAAACGTCTTTTGCCAACGGTAATCCATAGCTGACATAAATAGCCGAACGCACTCAGAAATACTTATCCTCACAGAAAAAATTGACTCCAGGCCTCAAGTTTTGATGTTATACGCCTCTGAATATAACATTGTACGCCAACTCAATGCAGCACTCCCGCTCATTTTTAAAGTTCCCACCATGAAATATCCGCATCTTATTTGTCCGGAACGCCTTTGCTTTATTTCCTTTTATATCGAAAAAAATCCACTCGGATTGTCGTAATTACCCATTAGTCGTTGGTGAGCCTGATGGAGCACTATTATTCTTCTGGTTACCTCGTAGGATTTTGTGATACATGCTATCTAGCTGAGACCAAGAGGGTTTAGGGGCAACAGGCCATAACCCAACAACGTATTCCCTTCCTAAGATTAACACATATGCTACTGATGGACTGAGGAAACTAACCAAAAGCTCTGTCGCAATGCTGCTCCTTCTTCCTCTTGTGCCAAGTTTTCAATAAAGTTACCTATTGTCACTAGCTCTACCTTCATGACGTTTGCTCGTTCTTTTTGGGACTTTATATTAACAGTAGTTGCTGCCTGAAGCCTTTTCAAGCTATCTTTGATTGGTTTAAGGAGTAGACGCATCATGGGATCGTCAGGCCTTGATGAACTATTCTCTGAGTGCCGGGACCTTGAATTTTCATGATCAGCATGCTTTTTCTTTGAATCACCATTTCTATGTCCAACGTCTTGACTACCATTGCGGTAGCCGAAATCTCTAGGCCTTCCATAATATGAATCAGAATATCGATGTTTCCTCGAAAGAGGTACCGGAGAGGCAGACACAGATCCTCTAGTCTCTGATCTACGATGTCCATTAGATCGATCATATTTCTTGTTATTACGATGATGGTTTTCAACCGCACGCTTGGCAGCTTGATTATCTGAATGTTTTGCTTTGAGCACTGATAAAAGGTAGTCAGCTCTTCGTACTAGGTGTACGGCTCCAGGTGCTTTAGCAACCCTTTCTTCTCCCTTATTGCGCTCTTCTTTCTTGTCTACACGGTGTTCTTCTAGAAATAGTTTTTCACTAAGTCCTAAGTCTAGGTCGTCACGAATTTGAACCCAAGCCCCATAACCATGCCTGTGAATCCCTACTAGTAACATTCCATCTTCTCTGGCACCCCATTCGCAAGAGTAATTAGCGGCTTTGGAGGCATCGGGAATGCGAAAATTTCTAAAATCAGATATATTTGTTATAATATCCCGGAGCATTCTCATCTCACCAGGTCGCTCTATTACAGTCTCAGCATTCAATCGTTTTACGCCAAGGAAATCGAATAAAACAGCTTTTTTATCTTTTTTAGTGAGAGGTTTATTAGATTCACGTTCCATAGCTTCAATCCGGGCTGCGTCTTCTGTCAGCCTTCTTGAGCTTTCATCAGTAATAGCTTGAATTGTGCTCCGTAACATATCAATATCACGACCAACAAGACGTGCGTCTTTAATTAACTCCTCTTGGCGCTCTTCGATAGATCCATAGCGGAGAAAGGCACGAAAGAGATTTCTAGCTTCTTTTTCATTCAATTCTCGCTTTGGGTCAGCTCTATTTGCTTGAGCTTCGCGTTTCTCATCAAGTTCATCTTGCTTAGCTTGGTCTCTTTCTCTTTTTTTCATGAGGCGTTGTTCTCTTTCTATCTCCGCAATGTTCTTCGAGGCTGCTTTGCGTGGGGCATTTTCTTCCACAATTCTTGCAAGGTAATTTTCATGCGCACGTTTCTCCTCATCTGCCTTGATACCAGCTAATTGATCCTTGGGAATTATATCATCCCATTCGAGATCAATCTTAACATCTGTGTACTCAAAGCTCCGTAGAAAGTCCTCGCCACCGTCGGCTACCATTCCTTCAGGGACCTCTGTCTTATGTTCCTCGGCATTTTCAAGAACTGAATCAATGTCTAATTCCTCCAGTTTCTTCTGATTACCCGATTGCTCGAACATCTTTTGCCCTCTTCGTTTTAGGATCCTTGATATATCCTCTGAAGACCTTGGATCATCAATCTTACCAGCCTTGACGGCTTTTTCACGGAGTTCTTTTTTTTCTTTGTCCGTTACACCCCTTTGAATTGTGATAAACTCCAACATAAGTTTATTTCGAGCTCGTTCGAGTACCTCTTCCTCGACAGTTTCTTTAGAAACTAATCTATAAATACTGACGGGCTTTTTCTGACCGATTCGATGTGCACGGGCCATCGCTTGTAAGTCGGCTTGGGGGTTCCAATCAGAGTCAAATATTATAACAGTATCCGCAGTCATGAGATTGATGCCAAGGCCTCCTGCACGTGTGGAGAGTAGGAAGCAAAAGTCGTTACTTCCTTCAGCATTGAAATGGTCGATGGCCATCCGACGAGGGCCTGCAGCTATGGTTCCATCTAGTCTTTGAAATTGATAACCTCTTAGCTGAAGATAGTCACCTAGAATATCTAACATTTTGACCATTTGGCTGAAGATCAAGACACGGTGATCATCGCGTTTTAGCTTTGTTAATAATCGGTCAAGGAGCATCATTTTACCACTACTTGCAATAAGACCCTTTAATTGATCTTCGCGTCTCTCACTTCCTTTTAGTATTTTTTCCTCGGCATTTGGAAACATATAGGGGTGATTGCTAGCTTTTTTAAGTTCCATCATTATGTTTAATAATGATTGTTTTTGCCCATTGGCACCTTCATTAAGAGCAGCATAGTTTCGAGTGAGAATATTTTTGTAATAATCTAATTGGACGTCAGATAGCTCAACGCGAATAATTTTTTCGCTTTTTGGAGGCAGATCGTTTTCAACTTTTTGTTTCGTGCGACGTAGAATATATGGTTGTATCTTATTTGTCAATGCAGCAATCTTTTCACCCGCAGCTTCCTCTGTCAAATCCATATCCTCTTCAATGTCGAGTTCTCCTGGCATTAGAAAGTCCATTAAAGCAGATAGTTCACCCAGAGTATTCTGAACTGGAGTTCCAGTGATAAGTAAACGACTTGGAGCTTTGAAATCAAGCAGTTTTTGATACAGCTGTGAATCTCGATTTTTTAAGCGATGAGCTTCATCTACACCCATAAACTGCCATTTGATTTGGGATAAAAAGGCCGCATCTGCAAGAATATATTCATATGATGTGAGTAAGACGTTGAATTTCGGTTTCTTGACATTACCGTCTGATAATAACTCATATTCACGGATGATGCTTCTAGACGCTTCTTTGCCATTGTATATCACATAATTTATGTCAGGCGCCCAGTGATTAAATGTATCCGCCCAGGCTGGAATAGTAGTTAAAGGAACAATGACAAGGAATGGACCTTCCTGCCGTCTATCGTGCCGGAGCCAATTCATGAATGAGACTGTTTGCACTGTTTTACCAAGACCCATTTCATCCGCTAATATAACATTCTTGTTCTTGGTCCAGTTATAAGCCAGGAAGTTTAAGCCGGTGATTTGAAAGTCTCTCAATTGACCGTTCATGATGTAAGAAGGTTGCTCTCGAATTGGGACGTGAGAGCCGCGTGTATTTGGATTTGATTCTTCTTTATTAGACGAGATAGATTTGGCGCATCTGTCTAAGAATCGATCAATTGCGTCCTGCGATAGCTCACTGATTAGCGACTCGGTTTCCCAAGTACAAGATTCATAGTATAAGCCTTTCCATTTCACAAAGTATTCCGTTCCTTCTTCTACATCTCGTGATCCAATAACACGATCAACTTTGGTGTAATCTAGTAAAGCGTCTGAATCTCGCTCACGATCTAACATCCATTTTTCCTTTTCCTCAGGAGGTATCTCTGTGCCACCTGACATGAAGATATCCTCAAGGACTACTTTTCGAAAATAATTCTCCAACCGACGAAATCCACGCATCCCAGTAAGTGAAGTGGTAGTTTCCCAAGTAGCATGATAATGAGACTTCCCCTGCCATTTGATAAAGTATTCAAAATCGTCGCGGCTGATGTCTTTAGAGCTAAAACTTTTTTCCTCTTTAAGACGGTGTTTGAGAACGACGTCAATGTAAGGTGTCGTATCTTCCATGTCACCCCAGCTGTAGTTTGGTGTCATAAGATCTGATTCGTCGTCTAAGTCAGCGTCACTCTCTTGATATGCCCCTGCGGTTACTTGAGCTGCTTTCCGGGTATTCCATCGCTTTTCATGACTTGGAGCTGGAGGACCGGCAGAATGTCTTTGACGTCTGCGTTGTTTCTTGATCAAATTGCGGGCTCTGGAGCCTCCATAAGTATCGCTGTCAGAATCCGATCCGGATAATAATTGTAGGAGATTAATTGATTCGCGTTTTGATACTGAGGATCTAGTTAGTTTGGAGTGACAACAAGGTTTTACGGGGTCTACATGGTTGGGATCGATCTTGTTTTCTCCGTTTTGTACGATGATTTGAAATTACATCGTCAAAATCGGACTCGACTTCATTTTCATCATCAGACTCTATCTGTGATGTGTAAGAGCTCGTAACGGCGAAACTTCAATAGGAGACAATAACGTACGATGGGTTTGTGCTGGATTGGACGACCCTTACTTATTTTTAGCATTTATTTAGAATAAGGTGAGTGTGATACTGACACTCCTCCGAAGACCGTATAACTCTGGATTAGCGCTCATGTGCTTGTTATCAAGATCTAATTTTCGCTTTAATTGACGAGGCTCTGAGATAGACTGGTTATCGTGTTCAGTTAAGCCAGGAGTTGGAGCTGAGCTATCTTCCATATCATAATCAGCATCATCGGATGCATCCTGGCCGTTGGCAGAGGACTGAGATGCATCGCTCTCTGAGCCACCAAAGTCAGAATGCTGATTTAGTGATGACGATGATGAAGGCTGCCTTTCCATCATAGGCACAGCAGCGTTAGAAATTTCAGATTCACTATCGTATGGGGCATCATCGTTTGGAGGGCTAGATTCATTTAGTGAATTCGAAAATCCATTAAGTAATGGATAATTCGTCATGGAATTGAGGGCTGTTGTAATCGGTGGAGGGGCTGCAGACAGCAAGTTAGCACGATAGTCGAGATTGATCCAAGATCTTGAGAGGCGCAAAGCTGTGTAGCTACGCGAGAGGAAAATTGTGAGCCGAATCTATTGCGAGTGATAGCGCGTGATGGGAGTATTTCTAGCAAATATGAGCACGATCGGCGCACAGAAGTTGTGACACAATTTTTAAATATATGGATTATATCGAAGAATTGATAGCAGGTAAAATTAACAAAAGTGGGTTGGGAAATACTAAGTCATCGCCGGAAATCTTTACTGCTGCTGACCAAGGCTTAACAGGCTGAAGTGAGCTAGGATAGATCTTCTAAGGTATACTAAAGTATATTGTGATTCGATTCGGCAAGTAGTCGGCAGGCTCAATGTACGATTGGAAACAAGGCTTAAGAGTCGAAAGGAAATCACCTGAAACTTACAAGCCATTAAAGGTAGGCTGCCCGTTTGACAGAACAATTTAGTCTATCGATTAAAGTTATGAAAAGCAAAGTATGTGACGAGTGTCATCCGATCGAAGTGGGTGATATATGGAAGGGCGCTATCAGGATCCGACATAATAAGGTCGAGAGCCTCACTACGTCTAGCGCCTCGCGTGCTCACCAATCAGAATAGCTGCGTTTCCCAACCTTGACCCGATTTCATGAACAGATTATTACAACTCAATTCATTTGTCACATACATCCAGGCGAGAAGAAGCAGTTCAGCCAGTTGGCAGTCTAGAGTCCCAATCTCATTCTTTTTCGGTACATTCCAATAGAACCACTTGCTTCAACTCACGGTTAATGCGACTCTGCGTGCTGTATTTCACTGACAATGTCCGATAAATTAACCCGGTATGACCTCATACTTCCAGTTACGTCTGTTGCTAATTTCTTACTGTGATTTTTCTCAGAATTGCTATCGTTAGCACAGATAAGGTGCGGCCTCCTTCAACTTGAAAGATTGCCCCACTACCCCCACCATCTCTGAAGGCACTGCCAGCTAACAGGATAATTCTCAATCTCTAGTGTAAACCTAAGGTACATCATAAAATTTTAGATGACTTGAGTACCACAATCTGATTAAATCATAGAAATGTCGACAGGAATGTAAAAAGTCATGTCCCGTTGTCAGAAGTGGCCGTCTGTGTATTGAGGTCACGTCCGACGCAAAGATAGCCTTCATTTCGGAAAACCTCTGTATTGGGTGTGGTATCTGTCCAAAAAAGTGTCCATTTGGTGCCATAAACATCATCAACTTGCCGACTAATCTTGAAAGTCAAGTCACACATAGATACTCAGCAAACAGCTTCAAACTTCATCGACTACCCACACCACGCCCGGGACAAGTACTGGGATTAGTTGGATCTAATGGTATTGGAAAAAGTACAGCACTTAAGATACTTAGTGGTAAACTGAAACCCAATTTGGGAAGATATGAAAATCCTCCAGATTGGCAAGATGTCATCAAACACTTTCGTGGTTCAGAACTTCAAAGTGCGTAACCAAATGAACCGTCCAACCTCTTACGATTTAAGATAACTAAATAATCCTAGATTACTTCACCAAAATCCTCGAGGATGACCTTAAAGCAATAGTTAAACCTCAGTACGTCGACCGGATTCCAAAGGCTATTCGGGGTCCCGATAAGACTGTGCGAACCTTGATTGAAGGGGGGGCTTCCATGGATAATCTCGAGGATGTACTTAATATTCTAGGTAAGATTCATAGATTTCTCTCAAATACGAGCTCACATCTTTAGAATTGAATCATATAATGGACCGAGATGTCAATCTTCTGTCAGGTGGAGAACTTCAGAGATTTGCAATAGGAACAGTTTGTGTACAGCAAGCGGATGTGTGAGTGAAACGCTTAAAAGAAATCCTCAAAGCTAAATTTATGCCATAGATATATGTTTGATGAGCCTTCGTCATACTTGGATGTTAAGCAAAGATTAAGCGCAGCCAAAGTAATACGGTCTTTACTACGTCCAGATGATTATGTAATATGTGTAGAGCACGATCTGTCTGTTCTTGATTATCTCTCAGACTTCATATGTGTTCTCTATGGACAACCTGCCGTATATGGAGTCGTTACTCTTCCTGCGTCTGTGAGGGAGGGTATAAATATATTTCTTGATGGAAATATTCCCACAGAGAATCTAAGATTCAGAGAAGAATCACTTACTTTTCGCATTGCTGAAGCAGCAGATGAATTTTTAGCAGACAGGACTCGATCATTAGATTACCCGTCGATGGATAAGACTCTGGGGGGTTTTCATCTTAAAGTAGAAACCGGAAACTTCACTGATTCGGAGATAATTGTGATGATGGGCGAAAACGGAACGGGTAAAACGACCTTCTGTAAGTTGCTTGCCGGTGCGCTAAAACCTGACGGCTCCCAAACTGTTCCCGGTATGAAAGTCAGCATGAAACCTCAAAAAATCACCCCGAAATTCGAAGGTACCGTTCGGCAGCTTTTTTTCAAGAAAATAAAGACTGCATTTTTGCTGCCGCAGTTTCAGACAGATGTGGTCAAACCTCTCAAGCTTGAAGAATTTATCGATCAAGAAGTTAAGACGCTCTCTGGTGGTGAGCTACAGCGTGTGGCCATTGTCCTTGCCCTTGGGCTACCAGCAGATATTTATCTAATTGATGAGCCGTCAGCGTACCTGGATTCTGAGCAACGTATAATTGCAGCTCGAGTCATAAAACGTTTTATCATGCATTCTAAGAAGACTGCTTTTGTCGTTGAGCACGATTTCATTATGGCAACTTATTTAGCGGATCGGGTTATAGTCTTCGATGGTGAACCAGGAATTAATGCCCGAGCCAACACTCCTGAGTCATTACTAACAGGTTGCAACAAATTTTTAAAGAACCTTGATGTGACCTTCAGGCGCGATCCAAGTAACTACAGACCTCGGATCAACAAGCTAAATTCTCAATTAGACCACGAGCAAAAGCTAACAGGAAATTATGTAGGTTGTATGTGTGACATACCAATATATTCACTAACATTTTCGATAGTTCTTCTTGGAAGAATCAGAATCTAAATGAAAGTGATATTCGAGTAATTATGCTCCCATCTTTACGCTTGCAGGCGATATAAGCTTCTATCTATCTACAAATAATCGAGTAGAATTCCACAAAAGTTATAATTGTTGGGAATAGGGCCAATTGAAATTTGTATTAAAAGTCGAGCTCTTATACGCAAGTTCCAATTTCTATATGCAATGAATAGCAAACTGGTCCCTTAGTCTGGAGAAGTGAAAACTAGTTAGTGCTATACGATAGCAGTCGCTTTAGAAGTGAGAGAAATCTGTTTGTTGCCCCGTTAGTCAGAGCATCCTTTCGAGACTTCCGAAAATTTTCGAGAAATTTGATATACAAGGTCCGGTTCTAATTAACATCACAAAAATTGATGTACTACAAGCCAAGATATATTATTAATGATGCTTTTTCCTCATATATGAGCTCCATTGTGGCCAAACTGCAAATTCAGTCCCGCATTACAAAAGTAGTGCAATCTAGGGGCATACTCTAGAGGACTCGGGTTTCCTTTTGGCCAATCGACTCACTCTTCTTCGATTTCTCCTTCTTCGCTGCCACTGTGTAGAGCTGGCTCTTCCTTTGAGTGCACAGTTGGCGTTCGTGTTCGTTGCTGCCTCTCTCGCGAAGGTACGGGGGAGCGCTCGCGTGGAGTTAATTCAGTTCTTCGCTAAATCGTGTGAATTTCGGACATGCTCAGTGCCAGGGAGTATTGGGTTAACGAACCTTTGTGGCTTTCAGACTGCTAGCACTTTCTCCATCGCTTTCGGGCCTCCGGCGCTTGCTTATAGTGGGTCTCTCATCCCCGTATGGTAACTCATCTATGCTACCCTTCGGATCGCCTCTGCGCCGATAGAGTTTTTCCCGCTCGGAATCTCGTTCTCTTCTTTCCCATACATAATAGCCGTTTCCCTCGCGACGGCTACGATGAGGTCTGTCAAGGTCTATATCACGATCTCGATCTCGCTCCCGATCGCTTCGGCGTGCCGGAGATAATAAACCATCAGCTGCACCACCTCTTCTGTAGTTCTTTTCCCGGTCAGCTATAGCTTTCCGGCGATCCGCTTCGTACGCATCTGGCTCTGGGCTGCGGCTTGTTCCATCGTTTCGTCCCCTAGATCGTCGAAGTCTATCACTCCTATCTCGGTCACGGTAGGAACGGTCTACTGATAATCTTTCCCGTCGTCTCATTCTATCTTTTTCAACATCCTCTTCTTTTTCTTTTAGACGTTTAATAACTTTGTCAAATGCAGAGCGGCGAAGTTCTTCGTTAGGGACAGAAATGTACTCATCAGAACGATCAATACGGGATTTTACCCTCTCATAACTGTCATCTATTCGAACTGGAGGCTGAAGATGCTTAATCAGGGACCTGAGTGCGTCAACATTTCTACGCTGGTGCTTCTCTGCTTGATGTTTATCGTCTTCTTTCCGTCGTGATACTTTTTCATGCAGCTATTGAGCATTAGAAAATTATCAGTAAACATGTCAATAATCAACTTACACGCTCGAAAATTAGTGATAAGGCTTCATGATCGACATGGGAAGTACGTCTATCAGCCTTCATCAAGGCCAAAAATTCATCAAAGTGTGTCTTTGGTTGTATCTCAAATCTCTTATCCTAATATCTCATTAGTGACGGTAAATACTCTGTGTTGTGAAGAACTAACATCAAGAACATCGAGGACGTCGTTTCGTATACTACGAAGAGCACGCTCTTCTTCTTCAACCATATCCCAAAATAAGTCAAGAGGCGTGGATCCGGGCTGACCGAGCATAGCCTGATATCGATCATCGCTTTCAATCGAAGAGTAAATGTCACTCCATTTAGAGCCAGCCCTTATTTTATTGGTTGCTTTGAGTTCTTGTAGGAGACATATAAAATTATCACGATTTTTACGCTCGCGGCGGAATTTTTGATTTTTTAAAAGTTGTCTAGAGTCATTGAAAGATTTTTCTAATATCTTGATGTGGTTCTCAAATGCTGTCAGAATATCTGACCTACTAAGTGACTGGAATATCTGATCGCTTTGAAACTTTTTGTTAGATTTTATGATCCCTTGAGCTTCAGTCCATCGAGTAAAAGGTTGTAAATCTAGATCTCTCATAATTTCGACAAGTTCATTTATGGCGCTCTTTCTATTGAAGGCTTCTTTCTCAGAATTAGCTCTTTTGAGTTCTATGATGTAATCTTCAAACAGTTGGCGTCGTTCATCGTCATTGTTTGATGAGCGAAATATAGTTTCTCCTTCGATGATTGGACGCGCCGTCTTCCATCGAGTGTAATGCTTAATTTCTGGATGGCTCTTGAGCATAAGAGCAAAGTCTTTACGAAGCTTTTCAATTCTCTCCTTTGCTCTGTCTTTCTCTTGAATTTTAACTTCAACAGTGTATTTCTCAAATGCCGCTTTTCTATCTTTAGGATCTTTTAAAGCTCGATATTGGGGGTCTCTAATTATTGATCGCATGGTTTGCTCCCAGGTACATTCAGGATCAACATTGTGCCTGCGTAGAAGCTTCATGAAAGCTGCTTCCGCTTCATCAAACGTATTGTATTCGGGATCACTACTGGCGGGAACAAAAACTTGCGGACGACTCCCATTGCTGTCATTACCATATGCAATTTGACGGTTTTCGAAAAGAGTTTCTTTTTCCTTCGGGTTGTCATGCTGTAAACTTGAAAATCCGCCACCCGCAACAAATGTTGGCGCGCTGTTCATAATTAAATTAACAATTTTTTTACTTTTGACAGAATACTTACGAAGCTATAGGTTTTGGTGATGAGACTTCCTTTGCTAATGCAACTTTATAAGCTTCAGGCATCTCCCAGGAGCTTTGTTTTGTTTCTGTGTTGTACCAGTATTTCCTCCCTCCTTCCGCTGTATACTCTTTCCATGGCTGTGAAGAAAGTGCGCGCTATTTTAAAATTTAGTTTTGGCTTATTAGGCTAAATGCTAGGAATACTTACTTCCGCTGCAGTCATTAATTCTTCTGGTTTTGTCCATTGGGTAATTTTAGTGATGGTATTATAATAATATACCCGGCCCTCAGCATTGCGCGCTTCAGACCATAGAGAATTGGATTGCATAGTCCCATTATTGATGTTTACTGAGTTCATCTTTGTAGTGTCAGAGGCTCAAATACTGGGCTCGAAGTATCTGAAAACAAGTTAACCTTGGAAATCTTGATATGTTAGCCGAAGGTAAGAGATGTGGACGCGAATGTAGATGAGCCTTACTTAGCTGGTCTTTAGACTAAGGTATGATACCACTTAATACATTGAGCGTATTTACATTGAACGACAGACAGAGCTAATAATTCTACATCGCTGAATCTTATTATTCTATTTCCAACAATACCGTTGCATACATGATAACTCGTGTGCTCTGAAAGCACCATGGCTAAAGGTGCCGAGAATCTTAATGAAGGCCTAAGAGGATCCGCAGCTCTTGTTGAAAGCTCTTCTCTTAATATTATTGTGCCGTTAGAAAGTACACTCGAGATTGAATCTACGCTACGCTCTCATGAAGAGTGTTTTGACAAAGAAAACGTATTCATCTTGACATCTGTACCACAACGACAAGTACTATTTTTTGGTAAGTAAACCGTTCAATTAAAATCAACTATGTCTTACTTATTATCAGACGACAGATGAGACTCTTGACATCTATGTTCTTCTACAGACTCCCTATTTTGATGAAAAAACTCTTCGCTCTTACCTGACTAAATTGGCCATAAACGTGCAAGGTCAAATATCTAATGCACCTGGAAATACTAATATTCCTCCTGGACAGGATATAATCTATTCTGGATCAGTACAAGAGAGTGAAGATCCTTTCATCGTTGTGCAGCTACCAGACGTCACTGAAGAGGAAACGGTTCAAGGGCATGTATTCATTGTATGGAAGATATCGGCTTCACTTAGTAGACCACGATTTCGGCTTCATAATCCATCGGTCACATTTACCGCAAAAGCTAGTTTGAGGTCAGGGGAACACCCTTCTGCATCACTGCTAGAGGATAAATATCTCCCAAGCCAGGTTCCTTCCGCCATAAATATCCTAGAAGTCTATTCCCTATGCCTCTGCCCCGTAATTGTGCTAATATAGTCAGGCTTTTGGCAATGATCCATCTATTAGCGGAATTAAACCTAGATTATCTGCACTAAGGATATCACAGACAGCAACAATAGCTGGTGCGGGTATCGACTCAACGAGAGTTTTTAGAAGTGGGTCGCACCATCCCATAAAGATTTATCCGGCCATAAACCCAAAAGTTAAACATTTCAGACCAATCACCGCCTCTGCTCGTAGTGGATTAATAGCTTGTATTGATATCGACATGACCCCTTTCACCGATTGCCAGGTGATTCTGAGGCAGATCAAGCTTGATCTTCGTGGAGGACAAGTGGAGGATTTGAATGCCAAATTTGGCATATCATTACCAGTGACTTCACATCCGCTTGATAACTTCACACTTATGTACTACCTAGAACCAGATGAGTTGGATACAAAATCCCCCGTACGAGATCTAGTAATCTCTATGTTTGCAACGGTAGATCTTTCCAACGCATGCCAGCCAAAAATCTCAATGCACTGGACTACACTTATATCTTTTGCACCACCTGTAAATCCTGGCTTTGGGGCGCCCACGTCATCAATTAAGCGCTCACACAAGCCAGCACAACTTTCTATAGACTCTACTTCAGCTGATCGCAACGTAAAGAGCACCATATTTGCACCTGACCGCTCAGATCTTCAAAAAGATCCCAGCAATATAGGGAATCAACGGAAATCCTCCATAGCTGACTTTGGCATAACCCTAACAATCTACAGTCCTCCATCTACTTCACCCATATATCTTGGCGCTCCATTCTCATGGACTGTACTTATTGTTAACAGGTCAGAAAAGCCACGTAGGCTTGCTCTAATAGTAAACCCTAAGGACCATCTTTTGGACGCGATTTCTCAACAAAATATTATTGGAAAATACAACGATTTAGAGTTAAGGGTCGCCGATAATCACACAAGAAATGTATCTTACAAGCTTTCAAATGATATAATAGACGAAAAATTGACATATTCTGCAAAAAATAAATATGTCGATGCACCTGCTAAAATCATCTGCTTAAATACCGACCGTAAGATTGGTGTCCTAGTGCCCATGGCGTGCCATGAAGTGGAGCTTCGATTTATGGCCTTAAATTATGGAATCCTTAGCGTAGAGGCTATTCGACTTCTGGACCTTGACACACATGAGTACGTCGATATTAGGGATTTACCCATAATAATTGTATCACCACAAATGAACTCATAAGTACTTCGGAGCAAGTTAAAAGAGACTACATGAATTCTTTGTTCTTTAATCGATAAGTTTGTCATAAAATATCTAGAAATACTTCTTGGCCGACCCAATGCGATGTGCAAATATTCGCTCAGCGAGCTTGCATCCGGTTTACTACGTAGATAACCTCGTTTCAGAATGGTGTACTGATTTTTTTGAAACTCTACCAAATAGTCTGAAGTTCCTAGCATGGAGAAGAAACACCTAATATAAGATATCTTTTCTCAATCACCTCTTCTGAGATTCGCACTGGATATTTAAATTTGTAGCAGATTTTGTGCGATCTGATGATTTATTTTGTTTTGTTTGGGTTCAATGCCAAAGCAGGGGTCTAGTATAGGTACCGGACTGGTCAAGGCTAAGGTTATAGTGCGATATGTCTTACTTGGGACCACCGTTTTAATGACTACAAAACTAATAGCCAGTTTAAACTAAATCAATTACTACAACTTCAAGATCATCGCCAGCAAAGACGAACTCTTCGCCTTCTAGTAGTGCCAGTGATATCACTCAGTATGCCCTGCATATCTGGGATGGCCAAGAAGAATCATCTCCAAATAGAAGTCCGAAGCAAATAAGATAATCTAAACCCAACGACTTTTCATCAATTTTGGCCCTGCCTTTCCAAAGTGAACCCTCTAATTTAACCATTCCACGAAACACCTCGCCTCAAGGACTGATTAAGTAATTGCACCAATTGCAATGGGGAATTTACCTCATCATTAATCAAACACATCCCACTAAAAAGTTACGAGGCTACTTAATCCCTTAAGTAGAAGGTTAATATTGCGGTTGTGGCACGGCTACACCTGCGTATGCATGATGAGGATTGATTAGACAAAAGGATAAATGGTGGTATCAAAATAGAATGGCATAGATTGATGTAGAATGAAACTTGACACCGTCAATCTGAATGGTAATACAATGGTGGCAATGAGAGTCGTAGTAGAGTGCAGCTGACTATAAACAGAAGTCAACGATGAAAGACGCCGCGGTTCGCCTCCTGGTGGTGTTCTCTGGTATAGTCTGGGTAGCCTGGGCACCTACTCCACTTGGGAAGGAGACATCTCAGATAACATTTCGCGCGGAGAAAAGTTAATGGATGACGGAGGCATGTCTGGATAACCCAGGGTTTTTGAGACGTTTCCCTGGGTGGGTATTCACGGATGAGGGTTGACTTGGGGTGAAGAAAAAGCCAACATAACTTCGCAGTGGTACTTGCAGTTGAAATTCTAGACGTGAGTACTCTCCTTGTAAATTGAGTCATCTTTTCTGTACATTTTCTCCGACACTGTGTCATAGCTAGATAGCCACATATGCAATTAAAATCTTATGCAAAATAATAAAGGTCTGTGACTTAGAGATCCTCATAATGCTGTCACGGGTCCTGGGTCAGCAAAGGTACCCCCTGCAAAATAACTTTCTTTGACAAACTCCTAAGCGCATCATAGAATGACTCCTTCATTATCATCATTTAAGAGAATCAGAAAAGATTTTGATTACTTCGCTCGATTGTACAGATCACCACCTCATTTCGTGACAAGTACAATCGACTCTACAAACAAGCAACGATGGAAGGTGTTGTGATCCGCCTCCTGGTCATCATCTCACCGAATTAATGTCTGGGCAGCCCAGACACCTACCTCACTCGAGGAAGGGATGACTGAGAGGCCATATCTCGCGCGGTGGCTATATGTAAGATAACAAAGGCATGTTAGGGTAGCTAAAGGTGTTTTCTGTTAGGTGGATATTAGCGCTTAAGGGAAGAGTGAAAGTCCCTAGCACCAAGGTCTCGAGTGGTATCAGAGAGTGCACCCACTTAATGAGTAGTCCAAATGTCAAACTGAGTTATCGTCATATATTTTGGTCGGGGAAGCTAGTCTTCTCCGTGCCAAGCTCTTTGAGTGCAGAACTTGTTGTCATGGAATGTGATCGTGGGCTAATCGGTCGAAATAAACGAAGTTTTACTGATTTCCTGAAATAATGATGACGCTAGAATAACTACAGTGCGGAATAAGAGTATCCGGAAAGGATGGTATTAGAGAACAGATCATATCCTAGTCGATAGAACGTGGAACCTCCAGAATCGGATTACTCGACTCGTTTAGTTACGAGCCGTGCACTGTCTGAACGATAGACGCGTCAGTTGTTAATCACCGAGTAATGTAAGCGACAAGTGGTAGAGACGATCTGTCAAGTGAAGGAGTAGTCATTCTTTGATGACTCAAGTCATTGACAGAATACTTTTCAGTTATACGAGGGATTGAGACACGTCTAGAATAAAGTAGATAAGTGGAACACAGTTTGGTGGATGGGAATATTACAATATGATTCCTCTGGACGGGTAATACAGTAGTACTGTTACTGGAATATTTGGAAGTAGATTTGATAAAGTATAGGGTTAAATCGTTGCGTGTGTCTTCGTCTTTAAGCCTACGCGCTTAATGAAAGTATAGCGACCTCGCACCCTCTAATGTATCGCTCCTAGTCTCATCCACACGCTAATATGAAACTACTAATATAGGGTATATAAAATCAACAGACGCCTTACCCTTTTTAACTCCTAGGCAACCAATAACCACAACCCTAACTCCATTATGTTAAATTGTAGGGATGAATATGTTTGACCAACCCTTCATATAATTTAACAGGGAACTTCTTTAAGACCCAACTCATATAACTACTGTGGCATATCAATTCAATACTGATTCATCTACGCCTTACATTTGCTGTGCAGTGTCTCTTATCAAGTTATGCAAGTGATCAGAGTACGCATATTTTAATAGATATATTATTGAAATGTATAACCCACTACTTAGTTCGTGGACTTGTTGGTAGAGGCAAGCTTATGCAAAAATGAAGGATAAAAGGATATCAATCCGGCTACCCTTCTAAACATAGGTACCTGACTCCTTTTAACCCCAATAGATAGCCCGTTCGGGATCTCCTATTAACAGCAGTAAACAACGCTAGCACAGGGTATACGCAATCTCCGTTCGCCAAACACCAGTCGGTTGGGACTACTAATTATCGGGCCTAGTAGGTTCGACAAAGTGTATCCCATCACAGAAGTAATAGAAAACTCAACAACCAAACCCTTCATCTATAAATACCATTAATCATCAGCTGACTTATCTCTATACTCCATAATTTCAACATATATATTTTTACTGGTGTATGACTAAGCGAACACTGAGATCAGTATTACACATGGGCCACCAACTGTGAACAGCATGAGTTTGTGCACTAGATGCCGTAACAACTCTCGATGACCACCCGAGGATATAGCTCTCTTTTTCTAAGACAAGCTCTAAAGGGTGCTGCCTTTGCGACCCTCTTCTATGGGGCCGAGACCTTGTATTCTAAAAAGACTTCTCAAAAGATCATCTCGCAAGTCAAACACAGGATGAACGACGCGGCTCGGGCAGCTCTTTCAGTTTATCGCACCTCTCCAACAGCAGCATTCCTACGAGAAGCTGGCTGGGGCCCATCTCAGACGTGGCTCACCCGATTTCACAGTCATTTAGCAATTCGAATTGCGGCAGCAGAACCGTACCACCCTCTTCGTAGGCGTTGGAATATTAGTCGCATGTGCTAGATCCGCCAGAGGTATCTGTTAGAACTTTCCGATAACACCATACTCCCACCATGGTCGGCAACCCGTTAGGAAAAGATAATCAAATTGGAGCAGGAGGTAGACTCCTGAGACCAACTTCCTTCAAACTGTGGCAGGCTAAACAACCAGTCCTGGACTTATTCGTATTTTCAGATGGAGGTCTTATAGAAGACCGAGCAGGTGCGGGTTATGTCATCTACTGAGGTCCCACGCAGGAGATAGGGCGAGGATCACTACTGCTCGAAAACCCGGCGGAAGTCTATGATGCAGAAATTGTCGGGGTCAGGGAAGGTCTTGCCGCAGCTCCTCGCAACCCACTGGCCTATTATGCCTCTAACGTTAATGTCTACCTCGACAACCAGGAGGCTGCCATCCGTCTGCTCTTGGATACGCCCACAGCGTTTAGCTCGGCAAAAATCTTTATCTTCCGCAAGCTCGCAGTGAGCTGGAGATGGAGGTGACGCGGCCAAAATACGTAGCCTGGAGAAGTAGCTGTTCGATGGTGCCCAGGCCACGCAGGTATTCTTGGAAACGAGATTTCCGACGCTCTCGCTAAAGCCGCTTGTGCGGCTCTAGCTCCACACTCAGAACTCTCCATTGCAAGGGAAAGAAGAGAAGTCAAAGCTCAATTTAAGGCTTCTGCTGCACTCTATTGGGCAGAAATAAACCTTCTAGATACAAAGAATTAGGTATTGGCCCTAATACTAAAATCACCATCCAGCTCGCCCGTTTAGAGCGACGCGCATTGGAATGTCTACTAGCTGTACGGTCAGGTTACGGCGACTTCGCTTACTGTTGGGAAATATGCTCTGTACGATATTACATGGATAAATATGATGAAGTAAAGAAGACTTGATATTTTACAACTATAGGAACATTGGACTTATATATACATCTTAGGGGAGAAATTCCCACTAGTCTCATGTGCCTGTCCAACCTAGTGATGACCAGCCACCTCTCATCTACCATGATGAGCCAAGATACACTGTACTACGTAAACATCCAAACGTATAGGCGACAGTAGGCGCGATTAGCGTACTCGGGACATTTGTAGAGAGATTCGATCTTGTCGGGAACCTGAGACGAAATAGGTAGTAGTTGAGTCCTAAATTCGAGAGTCAGAATTTCCAACACTTACTACCACCGACAGTTTCAGCATGAAAACGCCATTCTAACCTGCACATGCGGAGAAGAGAAGTCCCCCGACCACTTTTTCTATTGTCACCTAGGGCAGTACCAGGTACAGCACTACAGGGCTCAGATCTCCAATCCCATCATATCTTGGGCTCTTGCTTCAGCGGAGGGAGTTCATACATTTAATAGCTGGCCACATAGTAAAAGCTAGAGAGCTTTAAAG